CCCTGCAGGTCCCCCAGGGTCTCCTGTTCCCTCTTTTCCAAGTCAGCACCATTGTCTCCGTGATGCTGCCTTCGCTTTGTGCCCATGAACCCAGTGGGGCAGCCCAGGCCTCCTTTTATCGCTGTTGCATTCACACACTCAAAATTCTGAGTCACAATCCAAACACCACGAGCTGGGATCTAACTGTCACTACACACAATGACAGTGTTTACAACATCTGGGCTACATGGATGGTTGAGCTGCGCGCATTCCCCATGCACTAACCACCCTCATAGGCTGCTTTCATTTTCATAGCACTCATCCCTCCTCAGAACCGAATCCTTTTCTTGTTCACATGCACATTGTCTCCTCACACGCCGAAACGCCAGCGCCGCGGGGTCGGCGTCCCTGTCCATCTGGTCATCCCCTACATCCTAAGCAACTAAAACAGCACCTGGAACACAGGAGTCATTCAGGAATTTTTATGCAGCTTAGAAAAACCTACATATATTCAAATGTACAAGGTAAAAGTCACACAAGCCTACCTTCCACCTCTACAGCGTGAGCTTGGTAAGAGCTGAGGTGGTAGCTGGAGGAACGTGACCACTGAGTCTGACTTCACGGCTCTCCCAGGCACATGCTTAGATCCCCATAAGCCCAACAAGTTGACTGTGACTTTGCAGTGATATTTTGTTTTAAACTTATTTTCCCTTTTGTTTGCTAGTATTGGAGGTATCACACTTTATAAATAAGATGAGTTTTTAAAAGTTATCCAAAAACCTAGCTACCTTTCTATCACCAAGGAGCCAGTGATCCAGTTGGCTTGTCTCACCTCTTCCTGGTGGCTGCTGACTGCCACCACAGCTCCAGTGTGTGCAGGTGGGCTGGCTGTGGAACAGCCCTCCACTCACGCCTCTCTGTCCTTCCGGGGGCCAGGCGGGGTCGCGGGTACAACGTGCAGATATGAGAACCAGGGACGCCCCAGGCTTTCTTTGATTCAAGATTATGATTCTCATATATTGTTGTTGGGGAGAGAAAGCGGTAGAATCCTTAGAGAGGAAAAACTGGCCCCAGAGAGATACAAAGGCAAAAAGACAAATGCATATTGCTGCAATATTTTTAATATGAAAGGACTGGAAACAACCCAAATGTCAATCAAGGGTTACTGGTTATATAAACACTGTTATGTCCTTATAATGGAACACTTCATAGGAAAATGTTCTGTCTGGTTCTATGAAGTGATGTCCAATATATTGTAAAGGGAAAAACAGCAAGATTGAGGAAAGTGTATAGAGTATGCTATCCTTTACCATTTGTTTACATTTTTTTAAATGAAAGGGCAAAAAGAAAAAAGGATTACCTATCGCAGAACAAGGTAATAAGATGGAGGGAATACAGAGTACAGAATTCTCTAAATATAGTTCATTTTGTGAATTTGGCTTTGGAACCATGTAAGTAGTTTACCTAATTATTTAAAAAATTAAAATGAAAAGCAGTCTCTAAAAATGTAAAGCAACACCAAGTCAATAACCATAACCATAACCCTAATTCAAGTTTGGGGTAAAACCACAGAGAGGAACTGTTCCAAGTTATTTTAAAACAGTAATTTGTACATCTCTAATGGCATAAACCCTAAGGACAATATGAATTGCAAAAGAAAACTTTAACTGTTTTCGTGATAATTTTGTGATAATTTTGGACTTTGTTATTCTGAGGATTTAAGACATTGTGTAATTATTTTGGTGATTTTAAGAAGGCAGTTTTTCAAATGAGAGAAAGAAGAGCAGGTATAAGATCAATGAGGTTACATTAAAAACCCTGTAGTCCTGAGCTGAATTTGAAATACCACTATAAATTCATGTAGTTTTTTCTTTTAAAAAAAAAAAAAGCTAAAGCATGTATTTCCTAGTTCTGTCTACTAAAATCAAGAAACAAAGACCAAACCACTACCACAGAGCACGCCTAACACCTCAATTTTGATCTACAATTATCACTCTCTGGAAAGAAGTTGGGTTCCCAAGGAAATGGATGACTTCATGGCTGGGGCACAGCATATACAAGATGACTACACAATTATCAAAGACCACCAAGGCCATGGCAAAGGGAACCAGCCAACTTGAAGCATTTTCCAAGGGCCAAGGGAGCACAGTTTGAGCAACAGGGAGAATAGTAACTGCAATGGATTGAAACATACAACAACTATGTTTTACCCATGGGTTCATCATGTACGCAGCAAACAAAACAACTGTATCCACCCTGGAAAGTGACACAAAAGGGAAAGTCAAGGATTTATCCTGCCTTTCCTATACATACCAAACCTCAGGATAACCAAATTGATGAAAAGAGGTTTCTCTTTATAAAGTATAATAAACCTAATAAACAAACAAACAAAAACCCCAACAACAGCACTACAATATTATTTGCAACACCTGAAAGAGTCCTTGGGTCTATCAATAAACATCAATGGCTGCTAACATCAGAGAAAAAGAGTCAACAAGAGATTCTATAGCTCCCGCCAGAAGTACCTATTACCACCAAGAACGTAGTCTTGCAAAACCAAACCTCACTGACCTCTGATTAAATGTCTTGATACAAATATCGATATATGAGAAACAGAGAGGATGGAGGAACATGTCAAAAGATGAACAGAGATGCACTCGGGAAAACCCAGACTGTGGGAAATTCTACAGGACAAATGACCCAGTACTCTGTCTTCTAACAAGCCTCCAGGTTCTCCAAACATAGACTGAGATGTGAGAACCACTGTAAAGATTACAGGAGACTTAAGAGGCATATCAACAAATTACAAACTATGGACCCAATTCAAACAAACAGACAGAAAATCATGGGCCACTCAGAAATATTTGGAGGTATTAAAGTATTGCTAATTTTTTAGGTATGATTGGTATTGAGGTTGTGCTTTTCAAAAGTAGTTGTGGTTTAGAGAAACAAGCTAAAATATGTACAGACAAGATGATATGATTGCTGTCCAGGATCTGCTTCAAAATTGTCATGGATGGGTTGAGAACAGAGATTGAACAAGACTGGCTGTGTGTTAATCACTGAGGCTAATGATTCGAACATGAGCTCGTTAACACTAGTGTCTCTACTTTTGTATGTGTTTGCAACTGTGCATGATAAAAAGTTTTAAACCTCGCGGCCGAATATCATGAAACTATGTCTCCTGGACATGGGTACAAATTAATACCTGTAACTGTTAGATGCTCTGACCTGGCACAGATTGGAGCTTTAAAAGGACAAAGGAGAGTTATTTTCCACAGGGAAATTAGATAAGAGAGAAGAGAGAACATAAAGTATTACCTAAGGAGAAGGCCCAAGCATGATCCACAGGCGGGGCCAGGCAGCCCGCATTCTACGTGGTACTGCGATGACAGATCTCGGTGGCGCAAACCACTGGTTTAGGCTTGGCCTGTGGGGCATCCAAGTCATCACACACTAGTGTAGGTGTGACGCCCATTCTGGAGAGCCTCTTCATGCCTCACCTGGGAGGGGAGAGACTTGTGTCCGGGAGCCACCCCGGCCCCCAGCAAGGAGAAAGAGCACATCACTATGACATCTCCCTTTCCAGAATCTGGCCAGGCCCTTGGACTCTCCTACCTGGTGTTCTGCATAGGGGACTGGGTGACGCTTCTTGATCCATCACGGCACCATTTGGAAACACAAGGCTGTGTTTAGGCAGTTTTAATAGTCTTATAACAACCTGGAAAAGCAGATTTGCAGGTCCTGGTTCTGTTGGAGAAATGGCAACTAAACCCATGGGAGAAGGAGAAAAACATCAAAGACACCTTTTGATTGCATCTCACTCTTCATCTGACAAAATAAGACAAGGATAGTGTCCCAGAAATATTCTGATGGGGCTTGACCACTAACGTGGCAACACACGTCCTCTGGCTATATCTCATACCAAGGCAAATACAAAGAGTTTTAAAAACACATCAGAAATGAAATCCCACCTAGATTAACATGTATTTGGATACTGAAACTTCCTCACACCTCAGCCAACTTTTAAGTTTTAACCTGAATGGTGTGTCCCACCCACCCCACCCTGCCCCACAACCGCCCTAGGTAGTGCCTGGAGGGCATCTCCCCCTGGCTCTCCAATCAGAAGTAGAGGGCCCGGCATCTAAGGCATTTCAAGTATCTTCTTAAATGCCCCACGGCCAGGTGATGCCTTATCAATCTCCTATCTGGTCAGGCCAGATTTCCACTGGGGGAGCAATCCCATGTTCACCTCTGTGCTGTTTCTTAGTCATTTATCTTAGTGGGTGCAGCCTAGACAGGAAGAGAACTAGGCACCCCCTCCCACATGGAACGGGCCCAGCTCATGTTCAGGGACAGGCCAGGTGGGCAGGGAGAAGCAATAAGCTTTATTAATTCAACTAGAATACCAGGTTATGTTCTGAGATACGATTTCTTAAAAAGGAATTAAGTCAGGCAGAATCTATTCTTTAATATTGGTGTCTTGGTCTAGAAGAATCTGTGTGGGAGTGCCAGACCCTGCATCCCTCTCTGGCTGGCAGAGGTGTCACAGAAGGTACACAGACAATAGCAGAATACTGGGTGGTGGCCAAGACCCACCCCTGTGCCATGCACACAGGGCACAGTTTGCCCCTTGGCATGACTGTAATAATACCGGACTGACAAGCACCTCAGACACACCATAAGCTTTCCCTGTCCAGCTAGTTCAGACTCACAGCGGCATTCACACAACATTTTCCAAAGCTGCCCATTCCCCTGGAGAAGAGATTTCAAAAAATTAGCACATAATTGAAGGAAACAACTTTAAAGCAGAGAACAAAAGTGATGGCAGCAGTTTGGTTTTTGTGGCTGCCTGTCTGTGCGACTCTGTGGGCCAGAGTGCAGCGCTACCCTAGACACCTGGGTGAGTGAGCAGGGGAGCAGCTGGGCAGGGAGGGAGGTGTCTCACAGTCCATGCCCACAGCTGAGCCTTTGGAGAAGAGACATGACCCCAGATCTCCACACTCTGTACTCTTGCACCCTTAGAAGTCATATGGGGACACAAAGATGGTGACTTTGGACACGTGGTTGGCCTGGAAGGAGCGGTCCAGGTATTCTGACATGTCAACGTCCACCTCCAGTGTCTGAGGTCCCTCCAGGGTCTGGACGAGGATCAGCTCCCCTGTCTGGCGATCTGCACGCTGCATCACAAAATGGCCGCGGCTGTTCCCACCCACGATGCCGAATCGAAGGCTGTTGGGTCCAGGTCGGCCGGGCACTGAGGCCATGGCCATGCGGAAGAGTGTGATGGGCGTTGTCAGGTTGGAGGGCAGAGACAGGTAGTGGAAGGAGATGGTCTTGGGCAGGTGGCGGCAGGGTCTGCTGTCCATGGGGCAGGGGTTTCGCTCACACTGACTGGATCAGGGAGGCAAGATATAAGCAGTCAGCCTTGGGGAGACAGACAGGGGCTACCCTGACCTGACTTGTCTGTGCCTGCCCTCTTGAGAAGGCCACCGGAGTGACCTTTCCCAGCCACTGGTCCCCACAGGTGCCCTCAGCTACAGGCAAGTGAGTGAGGCTGGTGTCAAGGTGGCCAAGGAAGAGGCATTCCCCTAACTCACATGTGTATGTATTTGCATGTTCCTGTGTGTGTGTGCATGTATGTGTGTGAATGTGCATGTATGCTATTACTATAGCTTTTACAGAAGAATAAAGCCAGGGAAGATTAAATAACAATGACAACACCGGTATTCAACCAGGCACCCCTCTGCACACACCGAGGCCTCCAGCAGGCAACATCCCGGAATGTGGTGCTCCACGGGTGCTCAACTCCCCTGTCTGCCTTAACCATTAGGAGTCAGGGACACGAGGAAGGGCTTCTGATATTTCCCACATAAACATTGATGCACGTAAGCTAATTTAGTGAGTCATGTCCTGGGTAGTTAATGCAGGCTGAATATCACATTTGGCTGTTAATCGAGGATGTCCTCAAGGCAATGACATGTAGGCTCCTCTGTTCCTTCACTGAGTGGCTCCTGAGGTCTTCACTCCCACTAATGGTCGCCGCTCTCAGGGCACTGCCTTTCTCACTCCTTCTACTCTGCTCTGTTCTCCCCCTGAAATTCAAGTGTCTAAGCTTGAAAAGCCAATTCAATCTAAAGACAATGCTAGAGCTCTTGTGATCTTTTTCAGAAGAAACTGCGTGTACTTTGTCATAGTTGTAGTTTTTCTCCCTTAAAGGCCTGTCTCCTATCTTTTGAAAAGGAAGAGCTCTATTAAGTGCCTAAGGTCCCTAGAAGCCAAACGTTCTAGCACCAGTGGAAAAGCCGGGTGATAGAATGTTAGCAAAGTGTGCATGGTGTGCTCTGCGAATGTGAGAAGGCGGTCCTCCCCCAGCTCAGTGTGATGTACACCTGCCTCCTGGCCACATCACCCAGAGGCCTTGCTCCCTGAAGTGCTGCATTGGGTGGCGAAATGCCAACATTCCCCATGTCAGCAGGCAGTGCTGGGAAGTTACTCCTGTCAGAACAAACTGGGTTTGGATTGCGCAAAGGAGCAATGCAGGTAATGTAACCACTAAAAGGAAATAAGAGCTCAGAGAACCCAGACTCCCAGCTCCTTGCCTTTCATCTTTCCTCAGATGTAAATGCACCTTCTCCCAAGAACCTTTGGAAAACGCAGCCCAGAAACCCTGGGATACTCACAAGGGAGATGTCTTCACGTAGCTCACATTGCCGCTGCTCTCAGGGCACTCGGGACTGACACACTGGAAGCCTCCGCCAGTGTTGATGCACATCGTTCCCCGGGGACACAGGTGCTGTGGGCTCACACACTCATCAACATCTGAAATATGGGCACCCAGTGAGGGTGGAGAGCCCTGATGTCCCCTGCGTCACTGGCAGTCCCACATGTGGTGAGCTTTCCAAACATTCATGCTATTTCTTAGAGTGAAGAACTCCCCTCCCCGGGATCCTCCCCTCCCTGCTGGGTATGAGAGCTTACAGCGGGGCTGGGCAGCACAAAGAAGTGTTCCCACCAGACCTGCCTCCTTTTCAGCCAAGGGGTCTCCCTTCCATGGCTGTTATCACACCCTTAATGATCAAATTATTGAAAGCCTCCTACTCAACCTCACCCCATGCCCAATGCAGATGATGTCACTCTCTTGTACAAGCGCTCTCCTCCCTTCGCAGGTGAGCTCCCCTGCTGCTGTGTGGACAGATGAATAAGAGATGGATGGATGGATGGATGGATGAACAGACAAATGAGAGATGAATGGTTAGATGGATGAAAGAGGTGGATGATAAAAATGGATGGATGGATGAGAGAGATGGATGATGACGGATGATGACGGGTGAATTGGTGGATGGATGGATGGATGGATGATGGATGGGTGGATGGATGAATGGGAAAGATGGGTGGGTAGATGTATGGATGGATGAACAAATGAATGAGAAAGATAGAATAATGGGTGTATGGATGGATAATGGCTATCTAGGTACCTTCTCCTACTCCAATCCCAAGTTACCCATTCCTCTGAGTCCTGCAGGGGAGCCTCAATAGGATGTCACTAGGGAGCCACCTCCTCCCATTCCCACAGCCTGTGGAGGAGCCCTCTGACCTCTCTCCTCCTCCTTCTCCAGCAGCTCAAAGCCATTGTCTAGGACCAGTAAAGCTCTCTTCTGTGCCTGTCTCCATGGGTGACAGATCGGGGACATGGGTCTGTCCTTCCCCTAATGTGAGGCAGTCCTGGGTTAGCAGACTCAGTTTTCTGAAACCCAGAGGCCTGCTATAGCATTGGGGTTCCGGGGCTGAGATTTGGGGTGATCACACTAGGACATGGATGCAGGCCTGCACGGGCTGTGGAGAAGACGCATTACACCAGGAATCTCATGTCTCCTCCAAATTGAAGGACACAGGGACCAGCTGGATACTCTTCCTTTGGGTCCAACCCTGACTAAAGGCATTGCTGAGTGGGAACCCATGACCCGACTTTGAATACAGTTACTCACATAAGGTCGAAAGAGACTATTTGCCAGAATGGTTAAGTAACTTGCTCTCCTATTTATGCCAATGACAATGTAGCCTGATTTGAGAGGTCTTTTTGTCAGTGGTTTTTAAAAGGTTGAATATATCTAAGACTTTGACTCTTGTTAACACCCACTGCATCCCCATTGTGAAGTCCTGGCAGGCCACAGGAGCAGCAAGTGACCAGGTGCAGAGAGCCTTCTTTGGCCCTGCAGCACCTGCCCCTGGTGCAGGTCACTCACCCTCACAGCTCTTCCTGTCAGGCAGGGTCCGGTACCCGCTGGGGCAGGCACAGCGGTAGGAGCCGGGTGTGTTCACGCAGGCGTGCATGCAGAGCCGGGGGCGCCCCTCCTGCCCGTAGAGCTCACACTCATTCACATCTAGGGACAGAAGTGCCTGGTATGACTCCAGGAGCCATGCAGTGAGCCCTTTTTTCCAGCAGAGCATGGAAAGAGGGGCAGGCACATTCCCATTCCCTTGAGCCAAGGGCCCAGAAGGCATAAGGGAGGAGTGAGGGAGCTGACCAGGCTGCTTCCAAGGCTCCTCTGTCTAAGACTAAAGATGACAGGGAGACCCCACAAGGGCTGGCCTAGCAGGCACCCCCAGGCAGCTCAGAGAGCCCACCGCTGCTGCCCCAAACTACCAGCCTGGTTCATGGCCCCATCTTTGGGAATGGAGCAAGAGGGTCTTGTTTGTGCTGCTGTAAAATGAGGCCATTGGCATCAACTGACCAAGTCTCAGTCAGGTCTGGACCGCTGGCTTGAGTTGTTTTCAGAAGCAGCTTTGGTGATCAGGATGGTTACTAGAAGTAGCTCTGTCAGTAAAGTTAAGCGCGGAGCGGGCAGGGATGAGCCCCAAGCACCTGCCCAGCCCAGCATGTCTACCAGGGCAGCCCCCAGCCCTGCTGACTCCAGCCAGGATGCAGGGACAAGGGGCTCAGGGCTTTCTCAGACTAGTGTGCAGGGCTTGGATGGAGGCCCAGCCAGGTTCTGACAGGGGGAGAGCCTGGGACTCTCTGGCTACTTTCTCATGACTCCCCTTCTCCCACAATATCTAGGTGTTAGCTCCGTCTTAGTGACGGTCTTAGCAGCCACTAGATGAGCAATGACCTAAAACCACAGTGGGCAAGCTCTCTGAGACCACGCTTCTCCTTCGTGCCCTGGGTGAGGGTGGAGTGCGTCCATAGGTGGGAGGGTGGTGGTGGGAGCCCCTTCCCTCTGGTGACTCTCCCTTGAGCCCGCCCCTGGCAGGTGGAAACCCCTCTGTGCCCCCGCTCCGTGTCCCCTCCCCTTCGGCCTGCCTACCTACCCTGGCAGACGCTGTCACCGCCCGCTGCGCGGCTCAGCTGAAAACCGGCTTCGCAGCTGCAGTGCCTGGTCCTCTCCACCTGCGCGCAGCGGGGCGCGCGGCTGAAGGCAGGGTCGGCTGCCAGGCGCTCGGGGGCGGCTGCGGGGAGAAATCGCATCAGGGCCAACACCTCCTTACCAGCCGGACCTGGAGAACGGCTGGGGAGCCAGACAGGCAGCCCCTCGGAGCTTCCTCTAAAGGACCGGCCCACCCAGGAGCACACGCTGCTCCGAGGGCCACAGGGCGCTGCTCGAGGGCCACAGGGCGGTGAAACCGGAGTCTTTGTTCGGAAAAGCTTAACACACACCCAATGCTAACAGCCATCACTGCAGTTCAAAACACTTTTGAAGGTTCTTCTGTGTTGTATTCTTTTTACTTTTCTAAAGTGTCTAAGCTTATTGTTTGTTTTTTAACCAAGAACAGAAATCAATTTTCTAACCAGGAAAAAAAGTTTTAGGGAGTTTTTAAAGGATTTTTGGGAGTTTTTAAAGGATTTTGAGATCTCACACAGTTAGGGGAGATTGTAGAGGAATGGGGTAAAAGTAAGGAGGTACACAGGAAGACATGCGCTGTGGGATTCCACTCAAATGGTCCTTAGAGGAGTCAGATTCAAAGACAGAAGTAGAAGCGTTATGAGGGGAGGAGGAGAGGGGCAAGAGTTTCAGTTTTGCAATGTGACAAAAGTTCTCCAGATGATGGTTGAGCAACAATGCAAATGTACTTAATGCCACTGAACCATACACCTAAAATGGCTAAAATGGTCAATTTTATGTTTTTTTATATTTTACCAGAATAGGAAAAAAGGTGAATGGATTGAAGATAAAGCACTGGAAGACAGGCTTCCCCCAAGAAGCTAGAAAGACACAGGTGAGCAAACACCCTGGCGTCTGTTGGGCGGTCCGTGGATTGTGTGAGGACAGGAGTTGGCATCGGTGCATCTATCACTCCCTCCTTCCCTTCCTGGTGAGGAGCCCTGTGTCAAGAGATGCTTCATATATCAAATGCCCCTGAACCAGAAGAACAATGGCCTAAAGGTCCGTCAGTGTCCAGACCAGCTCATTCGGGTTGAAAGGGGGCCCATTTCTCTTTCTGTCCTGCCTGTAAGTTGTACAGGCAGTGGGGCTCTCAGTAAGGGCCTGCCTCCCACCTCCATTTACACAGAGAGCAGCGCCCCCCGCCCCCCGCCAGACAGAAGAGCTGGGGGGGCCTCTGGACTCCCAGGAGGGCAGCCTCATCCTGAGAAAACTCCCAGCAGGCTAAACAGAATCAAGACACATAAAGCAGCAAATCGCTAGGGGCGACTCTTAAAGGTGATCTTAGGCTGGGTCCAGTGCAAGGGCATCAAGTATTGACAAAGCTCCTACTCTCCAGACACTACTGTAAGCACCTGTTCCTCCTTCCCACACCGAGGTGCCACAGATCGCAGAGGACATGCCAGGATTGTTGGGCAAGGGACTGGGACTTCTTTAGGAGCTGATCTTTTTATACAAGACATATTAGTTGCACCACGGTGTGGGAGCACCCATCTACCCCTGTAGATTCTGTATTGGATTTTCTTGCTCTCTGCACAACAGCCACTGTATATCTTCCAGACCTTCTGGCTGGAGGTATGTTGGGACTCCGTGTGGACAACCTCACCATCTGTCAGATGAATAGTCACCCAGCTCTAAAGACACTTGGCCTCTAACAGTAACTACGGGCTTTGCGAATGTGATGGGGGCGTTGGAAAGGAAAAGCCGCTCTGCTGTTCCACAGAGGAAAAACTGACCAGTGAAGGTGGCAGCAAGGAAACATCTTCGGCCCAACCCCAGTCTGGGCAGTTTTCAGGTTGTGAGCCAGTCCTTCCACTTGAATTTTCTTCCATAAAAAGAATTAAAATTCTGGGTTACACAAAAGAGCTAAACTCCATCCCCAATAACCGCCTTAGGGAACCAGAGAGATCAGTGGATGTGACACAGAGAGGAAGAGTCCGCTCGCTGACCTGCCTGCACCTGGTGACCCCTGGCCACGGCCCCACGCAGTGGGCTTCCTCGCCCAGCCCCATATCGCTACGCACCAGTCTGGGCCGGGTGCTGACAGCGGCTCCCAGTCCTTCCCGGAGGACAAAGGCACGTGTACTGGTTGACTCCTTCTAAACACGTCCCGCCATTTTGACAAGGCTGGCTGGAACATTCGCTGATATCTAAAGACAAATAATTTTCAAACAAAAGTGCGTGAGTTCTGTGTGACCTTAGAAAACAGAATGTTAACATGGGTAAGCTCTCTTTACATCGCAGTGTGTTTCCAGCACTCCCCGGCCCCTCTGTCCTTAGCACTGCCCCCAGTGCAGACGCTGAGATGCAGCCCACCATCCACCCAGCAAGCCATGTACCCTGGCCAGTCTGAAGGTCCGCCGCCGGGAGTGGCCCGTCACCTGCCCCTGTCAGCCAGCGCCCGGATAGAACTGCCCCCCAACTCTGCCCCTATCAGCCAGCATCCAGATAGAACACCTTTTAGACAGGAACTCAGTTCAGGAGTTATAAGAGGGTAAGAGCAGGGGTAGGGATGGCCCCTTGAATGTACAGAGATGGGGAAATGCGCTCCCAGTCCCTTTGAGAAGCCCTCCTGTGCTCCCATTTCCTCCTGCGTGACCAGAGAATTCTCCTGACCCTTGACCTCTCCTTAATGTTGGAAAAGGAAACTATTCCTTGCTCACGTACACAACAGTCCTGTGGAAAAGCTATATAGAGATACATATTTAAAAGTTAAATAGGTTTTTCTCTGTGTGATAGTTTTTCTTATTAATGCTTTTTTGTCCTCTTGCATTTTTCCACAATGAACATCTATAAATTTTCTAATTAAGAAAAAAAAAATGATCTTTTGAAACCCTCGGGCCCCACTGGCATGTAATGAATTCCACAAGTCCAGTTTCAGTGGCAGCATTCAGGCTCCAGAGGGCAGGTCTGTGAGTTCACTGAGCTGACCACCGCACCCTGGGGACGGACCAGAAACTTGTCCCGAGTGGCACCAGAGCATTCTTTCCTGCCGTGTCCATCAAGAGAAGAAAACGTGTTTGCTCCTGATGAGAACAGCAGCCTCGTGTGGACAGGTTGGCCTCTTCATGACTGGGGTGTCACGTACACTAGCCCACGGTTTGTACCCATCATAGAAGGACCCAGACCATCCAGATCCTGCTTGTCCTGGGAGGAGCCATTTTAATTTCTCAGTAACCTCAACCTGGCTGTGCTGCCCCCACAAGCTATGTTCCGTCCCGTTTCCAGGAATGTGACTGGAACCACACTGCACACAAAGCCACAAGGCTTGGAGTTCTGTTTCTACCCTGTTGTCCAGCCCATCGTTTCTCACCAGCAAAAGCTGCAAGCAGCAGACCACAAGGCCATGAAGTTGTGGGCACAGAGCCAGGGTTTGAACACTAGTATCTTTCAGTCTGGCCCCAGCAGGGCCAGCGCCATCGTCTTTCTCTGGCCCGGCCTCCAGCAGAAGGCACGGAGCCTGATCGCACCTGGACAATGGGGTGCAGGTGGGGTGGGGGTTGTGCCCAGGTGTCCCAGGCCCCCATGCACTCTCTCCTCCTCTGGATCTTGGGCCCAGGGGTTCAATTTCTAGATAGGACCCACACAGACTCTTTCTTATCTTGATCCACACTTGGAGGCATGCCATGGCCCGATGCCCAGTCCTGGCGCCCATCTGTGTTCTGACTGAAGGGCATTTATCATCACATTGAGTCTGTCTCAGGCAGAGGCACTTTGTTAAGTGCCTGGCGACTTCAGAGCTATGAAGGGGCACCGGAGCAGTAGTGGAGAGGCTGGAAGGCAAAAGCCAGGTGACGACTCTGTTGACCTACTTCCTGTTCACTTAGCACTTAATATTTCCCCGGAACCGAGCTCAGTGGTTTGCATGCATGATCTGATTTCTTGTCCCTTTATTTCTAATTCTTTCCTATGTTTCTGTCATCTAGTTTCAAACTTTCCAGTTCTCCATCACCTCACTTCTGAGGTTTCTAATTTTTATTTATGCCATAAAGACTTCAATAGTGTTTTATCTTTTTAAATTTTCTTCCTGCTTGTTTGGAAATATTAGTTACAGCTTCCTGGCATTTCTTCATCGTCTGTACACTTTATTCTCTGTTTTCTTATTACAGTTTGTACAGGATTTGACATGTCCTTTCCTATTACTCATATTTAGGAGAAATAGGTTTCCCTGTGGAGATTTTCTAACTCCCTAACTCCTGATGTCAGAGTTAGGTTGTTTTCAGTGTGGGTCACACTTGATCTGCTCTGCCCTTTTCAATTCTCCCCCACTCTTCTCTGGACCACCTTTCATTTGCACCAATTTTCCTTGTTGGGCTCAATTTGGATTCTCCTTTTATACAGCCTCCACAATATTAGGGCTTGTCCTAGAATGCCCTGAGAGTTCCTAGGGGCCAGGCTGCTTGAGAAACAGAAACTTCATGTTGAAAAGATGAGCCCACACCTGGGGAAACTGGCCCAGGAAGACCAGGACTGAGAGGGAGCCCAATATAACTGTGGGATTTGTTTTCTTAAGAAAAAAAGAAAAAGAAAATATAGGCTTTAGTCTGGTAGCTCAGTTGGTTTGGAGCATTGTCCTGAAACATCAGTTGTAGGTTCGATCCCCAGCCAGGGTACGTACGAGAATCAACCAATGAGTGCATAAATAAGTGGAACAATGAATCGAATGGATGTTTCTCTCTCTCTCTCTCTCTGTGCCTATCTCTCTCTCTCTCTTTCTCTCAAATCAATAAATAAAAAAGAAAATATCTTTTGGTCATCCAGGCAAAAAGACTTCTTAGTCATAATGGCAACAACAGTATCAATTAAAACAGAAGACATGGAGGAATGTATTGAAGATACTCAAGGAAAGAAATGTGAAACAGGTATTTTATACCCAATCAAAATGACACCCAATGGTAAAGCTACACCTTTTTTGAAAATTGGAGGACTGCCCCTAGGTTCCTCTTGAGCAGCTGACTGAAGGGATGTCTGCGTGAGGACGGTGGATGTCACCAAGATGCAGCATCACAGGGAGAGAGAGGACGACCGTGGGGACTCCCTAGTAAGAAGTCTATAGTGCTGTCTCACCCAAACAAAACAAAACTCTCACCTGAGTCTGGTCAAGCCTCTGGAGTTCGCTGCCGGATTATAAGGAATACAGAGACAAAGGTATAAACTTCCAGTTATAAGCAAGTACGAGGGAGGACTGCAGTTAACAAGGCTGTGGGATATATAGGAAAGCGGTTAAGAGAGTAACTCCTAAGAGCTCTCATCAGAAGGAAAAAACCTTTTTTAATTTTCTTTGTATCTGTATGAGGTGATGGAAATCTTTCAGGGTCAAGGGGAAATCCGGATACTGGCACATCCCCTGGCGTGTCTGCATGTCGCACAGCTTGTATTTCCCAGCAGTTCCCGGCTGGTCTGCGAGCTGGTACCTGTAACCACCCTTCAAACTTCGCTCTCCCCAGGAGATGGGAAACAAAGTCTAGACCCAAGAATGTGCTGTTGCTTGACCTGTGCTTCCCCTGTCAGCCCGCACTCCTCTGGAGCAACGGCGTGCTTTCTGACACTCCTGTATACTCGCAAGTTACTTATGCGTTCAAATGCTCTTCAAAACCTACTTGTTTATGTAATATTAGCACTTCCCTTTCAATTCTTGGGCTAAAATCATAGACATTCTGACCTAGCAGATGTCCTATGAAGCCCACCCTGAGAATGACTGGTATGCATGAAGTTTTGACCATAAATTTTTGAAAAGCCAAAATGTAATGCATGCCAAGTCTAATTTTCCTTGACATCAAGGAAGTACTGTTTTCAAGCCCAACAAAGAGAAGAGAAGCCTTTCATGCCTCCCTCTCACCCAGTGGTCTTCCCTGGAGCCAGTCGACACCAAGTCCCAAAACAGACACAAGGGACACCTGAGGAATTTCTTCAACCCCACGGGTCACCAACAGCCTCGCAAACAAACTGCAGCCCCAGAATGAATTAGCCACGAGGAACGTCTTTGTGCAGTGTCTCCTCATGTCCTTCCCCATACCCCACAGATGGCATCTTGCCCCAATGTCAGTAAGAGCAGAGTGAGATGCTGAGGAGCGGACTCTGGGGTCAGACTGCCGGGCGTGCATCAGCTCAGCCTGCCCCCTAGCTCTGTGGCCTTGAGCGCCTTCCCCTGTGCCTCAATTTCCCCATACACAAAACAAGACTAAATTGTTGGGAGGATTTAGGGAGCTCACACAGAGGGAGCTGAGTCATCAGACACGGTGGCCGCTGTCCTGAGGTTGCGGAGTGGTGGGAGAATCAGGCTGAAACTGTTCCAAAGAATGACCCGTTCGCCCCGGCAAAGCCTCGCAGGGCTGCGATGGGTCCCGCCCTGGTGGAGGGCGAGGAGGGACCGACCTCTGCAGTGGGGCTGCTCCCCTGTCCAGGTTCCATTGGGAAGACACGCCACGCTGCTAGGCCCGACCAGCTGGAACCCAGGGTCGCAGGTAAAATGGACTTCGTGATCCACTAAGTACTTGCTTCCAAACTTTCTGCCATCTGGAGGGGCGCTCAGAGCAGGGCAGGAAACTATAAGGAGAAAAAGAAGGACCATAGCAATTTACACATCATTCTCAATGACCAGGCTTCTTGTCTTCAGGTGCCTCTCTGCGGAGTGCCCACTCCAGGCTACGCACCAGGCTGGATGTTTTAAATGTCATGTCTCATTAAATCCTCAGAGCATGCTTGCCATGGGCAGTCACTGCCCACTCAGTGAAAGATAGGAGACCGTGGCTCAGAGACACGGGGTGCTGTTTGTGAGCCCCGCCACGCGGGAGGGTCAGGGTGGGACTCCCCACAGCTGTGCTGACCCCCGACACTCTCGGAGCTTCAGGCTGGGTTCAGCCCCGTGCCCAGGCCTTGACTTCTACTCCTCTCTCTGCCTGGAAAGTCATTTCCCCAGAAAGTACCACCCCTGGCTCCTTCTCATTCACATGGTCTCCGCCTGAATGCAACCCCCTCCCAGAGTGTTCTCTGACCACCGCGCTTTGCTGAAACCTCCCAGGGCACCTGCTGTGCCGTGAGCTCCCTTTCCTTCCTTCCTAGATGTGTGACCACTGGAAGCATCTTATCACAGTGTTTGTTTCCACATCTGTTGTCAGTCTTCTCCCCAGGAGGCAGCTCAAGAGAGGACTCCTGGCCCATGTCCGTGCTGCACGCCCAGCCCAGTCCAGTGCTTACCTCACAGTGAGCACCCAGTAAACAATCCCTGAACACATGAGTAAGTGAAAAAGTATCTATAGTGTTCTTACTATGTGCCAGGCACTATACTAGGCACTTGGGCTAGTCAGTGAACGGAACAGACAAAATCCTGCTCTTAGAAGCCCTTTCTAGCAGGGGAGAGGCCGTGGATAACCGAGATCCACAAGCAAACGGCAGAGTGAGGTAAGAAGTAATAAGTGTCATGTAGAAAAGAGAGCAGGGAGTAGTGCTGGGTTGCACAGTGAGGGCGGTCAGGGGAGGCCTCACTGGAGCTAAGAGGTGAAGGTGATGGAGGCATCACCACGCAGAATCCAGGAGGACAGAGGGGACAAGCCGGTGCCTGGCAGGTCCGAGGAATGTAAGGGGAACCAATGTCAAGGGGGAAAGGAGGGGAGTCTCTTTGGGGTGGGAAATCTTTAAAATGCTCAAAAAAAGGAAACCACCTGCTGGAGCAACTCACAGGTAAACCATACCTGCATAGACTGAACAGTACCTGACACATAGTAGGTGCTCAATAAATGTTAGTGCAAGTAAAAAATGAACATAGGTCACTTAAAAATCAATTTGCAGCCATGGCCAGTGTGTCTCAGGTGGTTGGAGCAACAAGACGTAAACCGAAAGGTCGTGGGTTCGATTCCCAGTCAGGGCACATGGCTAGGTTGAGGGTTCAGTCCCCAGTTGGGGCGCATATGAAAGGCAACCCATGGATGTTTCTCTTTCATGTCGATGTTTCTCTCCTTCTCTCTCTCCCTCCTTTCATCTCTTTCTAAAATCAATAAGCACATCCTCGAGTGAAGATAAAAATTAATTGATTAACTAAAAATGTAAAAATCAATTTGCGATCTCTTCCCAACTGGGAGCCAAAGCCCTCTTTCCAGTGAATGGTGCTCTCTGTGGACAATGTGCCCAATGGCTGGTACATTTCACCACAAGCATATCCTGGTGAGTCTGCAGGCCACAGAGAAGCCCCCTGCACCTTCCGTAATAAGATGAATATACGAGGAAGGAGATCAGCAGGGAGCAACTGTGCCAGTGGGAAGTGAATGAAATGAAAAGAGTGAATGAAATGTTCCCAGGAAAGAAAAGCTGGGAAAACAGCAGGGAGATACTTGAGACAGAAGCCAAAAGAGGAAGGCCTAGGATTCTGCAGAAGTAGAAATTATTCTTCCTGACTCTCAGAAAATGCTTTTTGTAAAAAAGCAAAAACAAAAACAAAAGCTCATTTCCCGCTACCTGCATTGACATGGAGTGAGCTCCTGGCTCCCACGGCACAGGTGCGGTCACCCCCGCCTGCAGCAGAGGCCCTGACAGCTGCTGGCCCCATGTCCGACAGACAGGAGAGACAGAATGAATGGGGGCGATTTTTTTAAAAAAGAGAATTGACCACTTAAAATATCTTGCATGGTTCAAGGACAGAAGGCTCTGAATCTGAAGACAAGAAGATTAGTAATTTAACAATATACATTTCTGACTGTACTGCTGAGCAGGGGCCCCTAACACAAGCCAGTGTTTTTGTTTTTGGGGTTTTTTTTTTGTTAGTTTGTTTTTTTAACATTTTATTTGTTTATTTGTTTATTTGTTTGTTTCTTTGTTTGTTTATTTTTAGGGAGTGGGGAAGGGAAGGAGAAAGAGAGGGAGGGAAACATCAATGTGCGAAAGAAACGTTGATCAGTTGCTTCCTGCGTGCGCCTCTACCAGAGACCTGGCCCGAAACCCAGGCATGTGCCCTGACTGGGAATCGAACTGGCAACCTTTCGTTTTGTGGGATGACACATCAGTCAGGGCCCGGCCAGTGGTTTTATAAATTATCTGCTGCAGGTTCTTCTTTGAAACTCCCAGCGGCTCCAGACAGCTCTGGTCCCATGAAAACAGAAAGGATCTGTGGAGTTAGGCCTCCAGCAGGAGAAAAGATCCCTAGATCTGGGACCTGCTGACTCACTTCCCTTGGCCTTGGTTTCCCCATCTGTAGGAAAAAGGATGGATGCCCTAGCTTGCCTCTCAGAGTCTGGCTGTGATGAGCCCCCCAAAGAGCCCGTGGTGCCTGGGAAAGTACTAGGGGTCTGGCTGACTGGTCTGGCTCTGCACCGGGGAAGTTGAGGGAATCAGGAATTGACTCAGCACTGTTCAGACTCGGGATTGGACACCACCATCTCTGAAAAGGTACGAAATCCAATGCCTTCCCGGGAAACTCCATCTCACACAACTCAGAAGGCCCTCGCTAATTCGTGTTAAGCATGTGAATGATGTCAGATATGGCACAGACTCACGCCCGCCCCCGCAACCTGAGGCCCCATCAACCTGAGAAGAGACCACGGGAAATCCCGCCACCCACTTCTGGCCCCTGGCAATGTGAAAGCCATATTGGGACAAGCAGGGGAACACCCCAGTGTCGGTCAGAGCCACCCACTGTAACCTCACTGGACACAAAGACACGCACTCAGTCCCACCCCGCCAGCACTAACAGGAGACTCCTGTTGGAGGACTAGTTTTCATACCCAAGAAACTGCAGCCAGTGTTGGTTCATGGACAGTCCCAGATGTGCTACCCTGGCATAGACATTGATGATAGGGACGTTATGTGTGTTCAGGGAAGATGTATGTGGGAACTCTCTGTGCCTTCTATTCAGTTTGCTGTGCACTTAACAGCGCTCTAAAAATTAGTGTTAAATTTTTAAAACCAAACTGAAGGCAACTGGAATCTACCTGGGCAGGGGCGGGGAAGAGAGAAACAGCTCTTGCTTTAGGTGCCTTTCGAGGATTCTGTGAACATAATATGTAGATGTGAGTACGGTGAAGCCAAGAATGAAAAGATCTAAGAGGGAACAGGTGACATTCAGAGAGAGGAGGAGCTTGGAGGGCAGCCAGCAGGGAGGCAGGGAAGGGCCTGGGACTCCACTGTGAGACAGGGTGAAGAGTGACAGGTGGGGATGGGAGAGAACCCACAGGTGAAGGGCCTGAATATCCTGTGCCCAGTGGTGCCAAACAGGGGACGCACCTGGGGGGCCGTCCAGACCCACTCTGTTCGCAGAGCTCTGCAGCGCAGCCAGCCGGCTCCTCACGTTGCGGAGGCCCTCGCTGAAGCGGGTCTCCTGAACCTTCAGCAGCTGCTGCAACTGGCGGATGGCCGTGAGGACCTGCTGCTTGTTGAGGCAGTTCTGGGGACAGAAAGATCACCACGACCACCCACTATGGCTGGTTCACTTGCTCTGGGACTCCAGAAGCCACCCAGACCCCTGGGCCAAAGGCTGATGTGAAGGTAGCCTCATGGGCGTCCTTCCCTGCCCTGAGTTTCCACTGGACCAAATGATGTCCCAACCACACGTACTGCAGCCCCCATTCACCCTTCAACAAAAGCAAAACTCCCATCTTCAGAGCAAAGGGCAAAACTGATGATTCTACAAGGTTGGGTGGGTGAACAATGATTTGTACTCAAAGTGCTTTATAATCAGTGGTCTTTACTCCAAGACTTCCCCAACTCTTCCCTCTACATTAATGCCCTGAACTTGGGCCTTTGTGAACTCTTTATTTCTTTCTCCCTTGGACTTCTTAAAACCAGGTGGGTGATATGACCTATAAAACAGGGAAAACAGGAATACTCCATGGGTCATGTACTTTTAAATATGTAACAGGGCAAATAAGAAAGAAACTCAACAGAGTTAAAGAAGCATTCAACAAAAGTCAACACCCAGCACTGATAATACTTTAAAAGTTAAAAAAAAAAACAAAACCAAAATAAAACCAGGAAAAGGAGGCTTGTGCTCTTCATGATAAAGACTAACTTAAAGCATTACCCAGCATCATTCTTAGTGATAGAAACTTTAAGGTTCCCAATCGCAATTGTCTGCAAGAGCCGGGACCCAAGGGGGCGGGGGAGGTGCCGGCCGTGGGTGCAGTGGAGGGTGACAGGGTCTCGGCTTTGGGGGCTCACCTGGGGGCTGTGCGTTACCTCAGCATGGCCCGGTCTGACCTGACTCATTACCTGCACAGAAAAATGAAAACGTTAAGAAGATAATGACAGTTTTCTGCAGGGATAGGCTTATGGATTATTTTTCATTTAATTTTTTATACTTAACTTTTTTCTACAATGAGTATTAGTTTTATAATTTGAGCTTTTTCTGAAAGGGCATCAGGGCAGCTGGGAGTCACGGGGCTTCCAGCCTGGCCACCAGAGTGGAAACAGTCACCATCGCTCTCCCAGGGAGGCTGCCAGGCCGCTGCACCTCAGAGATTTCGCCAAACAGATGACTCACCGGCCTGATTCAATGGGCGCTTTTGACAAAGCTGAATCCCCAGTTGCCCCTGGAACTTGTTAACCCACAGGGAATCCTTGGCTCCATCCACCCTGACCAGGGCCTGACGGAGCCTGGCCCCTAACGCAGCTGCTGGGAAGAGAAGCTTTGTTTGTTTCCTTCTTCTTCCCCCACGTGTCCTTCCCACTCTGGCCTGGGGCACTCGGCGGCCAGCGGCCTCCTGCGGCCCCTACCTGCCCAGCACTGCACAGCCATTCCACCCAGGCCTCGTTTCCCACACCCACGTCCCCTCCCTTAAAAAAGAGCTGCTTTTATAGATGGCTTCATGGCTTCTGTGTGATTTACATTTGTGAAGTTCACAACTTACAAAGCTACTGGCTACTTCAAAGAATACTACTACCTGGAGTAACCCCATGAGGAAGGCTTGGGACTGGATGAAGATACAGAGGCTGGACGTCAAACAGTCTTCCCCAGATCATGGGGCTTAGGAGCTGTGGAGCCAGGCTGGGAACCCCACTGGCTCACATCCCTGACCACCCTAAGGCATCAGAGACCCTCTGTACCATCTTGTGCTCTGTCTTATTTGTTCCCCAGCCTCCTGTGTGGTGAGTGGTCTTCTTGGTTCATTTGCATTAGGAATTGGTAACTTGATGACCCAAGCAAAATATCCCACAGGAGTGAATTTCTAACTCTCATGCAAATTTCAGGTTGGGTAATGTGGCTGGTGGGGCTAGAAGAGGAGAGAGAACGATGCGAAGGAAACACCAGGTTGAGCTAAGCAAGCAGCTGTCTCCCTAGCTGGGGGAGGGCTCGCTGGACGGGGCTGCCCCACGGGACACGAAAGGGCTGTTTTGAAATTGGGGAGAAAAGGTTGCTGTCAAGACCTCTGCAAGAATGTGGGGGTGACATGCAGCCCCAGGACGTAAAGAAAGAAGGGAAGCATGTGTGAAGGAAAATAGGCCCAGTAGCCAAATGTGTCTAACCCCGGTGCTTGTAGGTCTGGGCACCGCTCTCCTCCAGACACACTTCACGGAACCCTTCTTAACACCCGCACTGTGGAAACTGGGCACCAGCTGTTTTCTCCCTAAGTGCTCATTAAGGGTAAGATTGGCTTATTCAGTCATAATGGAAAACGCTTCAGACCAAGAACACGAAGACCACATCCCAGGCGGGGAGGGAAAGGGGAGAGCCGTGGGAAGACTTGCCAAGGGCAGGTTGGTAAGCCCTGGTCCTCGCAGGGATGATGCTAACCGAACATGGTGTGATCAGAGAAGATCCTTGTGAGCCTAGAAGTAAATCTACGCACCAACGGTCGATTATTTATGACAAAGGAGCCAAGAATCTATTATACAACCGGGGAAGGAGAGTCTCTTCAACCCACGGTGTTAGGAAAACAGAACAGCCACATGCAAAAGAATGAAATGGGACCCCTATCTACTACCATACACAAATATCAACTCACGTTGGATTAAAACTTTGAGTGTAAGACGTGAAACCATAAAACTCCTAGAAGAAAACATAGGTAGTAAGCTCCTTAACACCAGTCTTGGTGATGATTTTTTGGACTTGACATCAAAAGCAAAATAAACAAGTGGGACTATGTCAAACTGAAAGGTTTTTGCACAACAAAGGAAACCATCAACCAAATGAAAAGGCAACCTACTGAATGGAAAAAAAGAATACATCAGATAAGGGATTAATATTCAAAATATATAAATAACTCATACAAGTCAACAGCAAACAACCCTATTAAAAAATGGTCAGAGGGCATAAATAGACATTTTCCCAAAGCAGACATACAGATAACCAACAGGTACATGAAAAGGTGTGCAATGTCACTAATCATCAGAGAAATGCAAATCAAGTCACAGTGCGATATCACCTCACCTGTCACAATGTCTATTATCAGTAAGTCAACAAATAAGTGCTGGCGAGGACGTGCACTGCTGCTGGGAATGCAGACCGACGCAGCAGCCGTGGAAAAGCAATTCCATGTCTGGGTATTTATCTGAAGAAAATGAAAACCCTAATTCAAAAAGGTATTTGCACTCCTATGTTCGTTACAGCATTATTTTCAATAGAGAGGACATGGAAACAATCTGATGAATGGGAAAAGATGTGATATATACAATTCAGCCATAAAAAAGGAAGAAAATCCTGCCCTTTGCAACAACATGGATAGAACTTGAGGGCACTATGCTAAGTGAAGTCAGACAGAGAGATGAGTGCTCTACTATCTCACTTAAATGTGGAACGTAAAAAACGCAACTCATGGACACAGAGAACTGATTGGTGGTTGCAGAAGCTGGGGCTGAGGGGTGGTCAAAGTACTTGAAGGTGATCAAAAGATAAAAAGTTCCAGTCACAAAGATAAGTCCGGGGGACCTAAAGTACAACAGGGTGACTATTGCCAACAATACTGGCTTGTGTATTTTCAAGTTGCTAAGAGAGTAGATCATAAAAGTTCTCATCACGAGAAAAACACAATTTGTGACTATGTGAGGTGATGGATGTGAATTAGACTTACTCTGATGAAAATTTCCCAGTATATACACATATATTGAGGCCCTGTTGTACACTTGAAACTAATGTAATGTTGTATGGCAAGCATAGCTCAATAAAACTAGAAGAACCAAAAAAAAAAGTCCCCAAGAGGGGGAAAAAAATAAAGGAAAGCCCTTGTGGTCTTGGCAAGCCAGCCTGGGTGCCAGCGAAATGGAGAGATTTAGTGTGTGGGGACGTCACGTTTGAAGAATTGGCTGCAGCTGCAAAGTGCTAAATGGAGCCCTTGGGAGTCATGCTCAGAGTCTGTCACATGTCCTCAGACTTGTGTGTAGGCGTAACTGAACTCATCTACAGAGCCAGGTGACAAGGCTGGAACCCTTAAGACAAAGTCAGGTGCTCAAGAGGTCTGCATTATGGAGGAGGCCTGGCTGGGGAACAAATCATCACTTTCTTTGCAAATGGAGCCTTGATGAGGTCAGCCGAGGGACTGCAGGGCCCTCCGCAGCTTGGGGACAAGAAGCAGCATAGACCTTCAGGTATCACCACCTGCATTTCAGCCTGGCCCTGCCACAGCGAAGTGCCAGCTCTGGGCAGTCCCTTCCCATCCCAGGGGCTCAGACCCTAACTGTATAAATCAACCACTGGCTCCACTCTGGCACGGCTTCCAGAGATGACCTCTGCCTCCAGCAAAGGCTCCTGACCAAAGGTCAAATCCACACTCAAGAGAAAAGGTCTGTCCCAGAGGCTGAGGAGGGTGGTGTCAGGGCCCCCACCTCCCCTCACTTCTTGCAGAGCCCTTGAGGGGCCCTCATTTTTCACATTTCTTTAAAAGATTTTATTTATTTATTTTTAGAGAGAGGGGAAAGAAGGGAGAAAGAGAGGAAGAGAAACATCGATGTGTGGTTGCCTCTACCATGCCCCCTAATGGGGACCTGGCCTGCAACCCAGGCATGTGCCCTGACTGGGAACTGAACCGGCGACTCTCTGGTTCGCAGGCCGGCACTCAATCCACTGAGCCACACCAGCCAGGGTTCACATTTTAAAAAAGGGATCCCCTCAGATGGTATAAGTTTCCATCTCTTCAAAATCTGGCTCCACACCTGGCTTATGCCGTTGATGATAAGTAATGATCTTTGAATTAAAAACTTATTTGAAATGGAACCAAGAGAAGACATTCAGTGAAACCTTTCCATCTTTGGGGGGGGGGGGAACAATCTAGATTTACCATTTCTGTCATCAGACACTTTAAAGGGATGGCACTTGCTCTAACTGGACACCAATGGCAGCGTTTGCAGAAAAGACTGGAACCAGTGAGAAAAATAGCAATGAAGTCACACCATCTAGCCCTTCCCACACTGGGGTCGGGGTGGCAGAGATGGTTCTGGAACACAGGCCAGTGCTGACAACTGGGAGGGTGGGGGCTGGTCCTAAGGCTCTTGGGAGCAATGAGGCCACAGAACTACTCTACATCTACCTCACGCCACCCCCAGGGAAAATTGTGTTCATCTTCCCCCAGTGCTTTCTCTCACAGCACCTACTGTGGTGGATCTAATGGAGATGCCACCGAGCTCACAACACTCCTCTTTCTCTGGGCCTGGCCAGCACTCCGCATAGGTGGATCTCCAGAGCCATTTCATACCCAAGACCCTACCTGCTTGCCAAGGGGTAGATGCGACAATGTGTGTCACCCCACAACAACTCACCCCGTCACCACGCTGGAACTCGGTAGGCCTGACCCCTCCCACCCCATCCAGGCCTCCTGGGCTTTGGGGCTCAATTTATAAATAAGTTTAAGACACAGAAAGGGTCTGCTCTCAAGGCACCGAAGGGAGTGGGTAAAGCTCCAGGGATGTGCGGGTTGCATGGGTGGGCGTTCCTGAGGCTTTTGTTCTCACGTGACCTGGCTCTACGGTCTCCTCACAGTGTCTTGGAACAGTGACTCTTTCCAAGAACCACCCTGGTAACAGTAGAGTTCCATGACCCCTGAAGTGGCCACAGGCAACCCCTCAGACCTCAAGGGGCCATCTCCCAGGCTGGTTTCCTGAGCCACAGCTATGCGTCATGTCAGCATTTCGCTAACGGGAACACAGATGTTTTGCTACCATGGGGTCTGTGAGAGGACCAAGCGCACTTGCCAAGTGTGTGCCTGCAAGCCAAGGCTCGCGGCCCCGGCGTCTGAGTCATGTCGAATCTGCGCGTGGTTTCCTCCAGAAGTTATTTTCAT